TTTCCTTTCCTTTCCTTTCCTTTCCTTTCCTTTCCTTTCCTTTCCTTTCCTTTCCTTTTCTTTTTTTTTTCCTCATAGCTGAAGTTTCCCAATTGGCAGACTTTTACCAACACCATAGTAAGAGAGCCCAGGGGGTTCTAGAAAGCTGTTCTGATATCAGTGCTGCTGTTGTTTTGTGGGGGTGGCTGGAAAAAAGAGCTAAGGTTTGCAAGGAGTTGTTTACTTTTGAGAGTTTGTTCTTTTTTCCTTCCTGTGATTACCACAGTCAGAAAGAGAACATGCAGAGGGAGTGCAGCCTGCTCTGCAATTCCAAACAGGTATGCACTGGACCTTGGGTCAGAAAAAAATGTGATTTAAAGCAGCTAAACATCTGGTTCTTCATGCTTGTTGAGCAAGATCTGTATCCTTTTCCTACTCTGTGCTCTGACCTGACTTTGCTAAGCAACTGCAGTGTGCCCTTCCTCCATCACCCCACATCTCCCCTTAGCTTGGATTTCCGGTCTCACCTATTTTTCTCTTCCCTTTTTGACTCTCAATAGTTTTGTGTGTTTTTATATTTGAAAAAATTATATCGGTTTAACTCAGGAACGAAATGACCACACTTATGTGCAACTCAGGGAGGTCAACCAAAAAGTCTGGATGCAAATAAGAGCTTAATTCAAATCATTGTGGTTAGTGGAATAATTCAGGTGGACCTTCTTCCAGCCAGGAGATCTTGTTTCATTCCAAAAATGTTTCTTGTGGTACATCCTCTTTGCTTGTGTCTTCAGGCAAACCTGTTCTGTCCCTGGGCCAGTTTTTAGCTCACTTCCAGGCCATTTCACACGTTCTTACTTTTGTTGAAATCCATCTTTCACAGCGTCTATCCAAAATACCCACACAGACTAATGTTGTTTTCAAGGGACTAGCAATAAAAGCTCACCCCTGGCCTCCTGAAGCCTGTCAGAATGGAAAGGGCAGGAAGGGAAACAGCCTTTCATTCCATCTCTTCAGAGCTGGGAGATTCTCGAAAGATTCCAGAGCTGTTTCATTCATTTGATCAAAAATAAACCTGGTGTCAAAGTTGCTAAGGGGTTTTAGAGTAAATGTTTTAGAAGAAAACCTAAATAAATTTATTTTTTTTTAATCAGCTAGAAAAAAATAAATATCTGCATCTCAAAGTGGCAAAGAATTAACTACCCAAACAGCTGTTTTCACAGTCATTTCAGGGAGAGTGTGTGCCTTCATGGGACAGCTTGTAGCATCATGTGACATCACGTGATACATGATGGCCACCTAAATGATCTGCAGCCTGTTAAAGGATTAAAGAGTATCAGCCATCAACCACGTGCCATGAATTCATGGCAGCTGCCCCTTTACCTGCACTTCAAATTGCTCTAATAATCACATTCTTTGCCGTTGCATTCCTCATCTTTGTCATGCAGCTGAAGTCAGGTCTACAGGGCAGAATTCTTCATCATCTTCAATTAAATGTAGGTGCTGCTATTTACAAACCCCTCGGGCCTTGTCAGCTTTTAACGGTTTCAAACACTTCCAATAGCAGAGCCATTTCATCTGCTCCTCAACAATAGAAAGCGTTAATTTAACACTTCTCTTTCTTTCTCTGCAGGAAACACGCTCTTGACTCCAGGATGGTACCTTTTGCTTTGTTTGTAGCTGCTGAAGCTAAGAAATCGTTTAGGGCCTGCAGCAACATCAACCTTGCTTGTCACTCTCTGAAGCCTTGCTATTCCCTCCTTTTTTTTTTTCCCTGCCTATATGCATTTAGAGAACAAACGCTACTGCTGCTTTTGCTTTATTTCTTTGGCTAATCTCTTTTTACTGCCCTGAACACAGGGCCGTCCTTCGCAATGCTGCCAGGATTCCTGGGGAGGGAGTGGGTGCACAGTCTTTGTAAGCGCACCAGGCAATGTAAAATACCTCCTTGCTGCCATGAAACACTTGATGGTGTAGGAAGCTACTCAGAGAGGCCTTCTCCCCAGTTTTCACACACACAAAAAAGGAGGAATAAAAGAGGGGAGATTTACGCTGAATATATGGAAAAAGTTTTTTACAGTCCAGATGGTGGGGGACGTGCACAGGCTGCCCGCATAAATGGTGGATACCCCATCTTCCAAGGTCAAGGTGCTCTGAGCACCCTGATGCAGCTGTGAATGTCCCTGTTCATTGCAGGGGAGTTGGACCACATGGCCCTTCTAACTCAAATGATTCTATGTCTGTATGGGTACATAAGTGTGTAGTGTTCAGGGTCTACCATATGATTGCCAGGACTATCCCCTCCTCTTTTTAAAGAAAATGTAGGTTCCCATCAAGGAGTCCTAAGTCTCAGTCTGCATTGCAGGTGTTTGTGCTATCTTTTATTGATGGCATTTAACAAGCGCTCCTCTGTGCAATTCCCGCACTCTCAGACACTTTGAATTCTACCAAATTTTAACCTTCAAGTTAACAGTTTTCTGTGTTACCTGTCTGCCTCAGGCCGATGTCTTAACTTCAAGCGATTCAGTCTTCCTTGATGAAGAGTCTGGGGAAAACACGCTGTTTTGCTCATTGTGACAAAATTCTGGTACCCTTTCAAAAGGGAACAATGCTTAGAGCAGGAGCTTGAAATCTGGCACGGAGGCAGTCTTTTCTGTCAACTGTTCTTTTTGCTGTCATTGCCACCGACAACTGTCATCTGGGCAAAGTATCAGTCTTTGAAGAGAATCAGTTCACACAGGTTTATTTCCAGTCCTTCCGGTTATAACAGTTACATTCCC